CAACAACAACAACAAAAAACCTGCCAGGCACTAGTGTCTCACACCTGTAATCCTAGTTACTCAGGAGGCTGAGATCTGAGGATTGTGGTTTAAAGCCAGCCTGGGCAGAAAATTTCTGTGAGACTCTTATCTCCAGTTAACCACCAGAAAACTGGGAGTGGTGCTGTGGCTCAAAGTGGCAGAGTGCTAGTCTTTAGTAAAGAGCTCAGGGACAGTGCCCAAGACCTGACTTTAAGCCACCTGACTGACCAAAAGTTAATAACAAAATCTGCAAGGTCTGAATTCCTGTGAAGCCCAGCAGAGAGCACGATGGGCCCAGCGCTGCTGCACATGCTCAGGAGACGGACCACAGGTATCAGCATACCTCACAAGCTTCCTCTAACCCAGGAGGCTAAGGGCAGTGATGCTGGAAACCTCACCATGTCTGTGACAAAGCTGGTCTTTCAGATTCATGAAGGATGCAAGGTCACCAAGTAATATCCTTAGCATTAGTGAACAAGGATAGCACAATCCCATCTGAGCGGGTAGTGAGACACTGGATGCCATGTGGGAGCTGCCTAAGCTTTCCTGCCTTATCTCACATCAGTGTGATGTGGTCCTCGGAGGGCAGTCACAGGTCTTCTACTCACTCTATTCGCCTCAAGTACTGACCATTCGCTCATCCAGACAACAGTTTGTTGAATGGGATTACCCAGCTTTCTTTGTTGCTGCCCATCTACTCTATTTAAGGAGCAGCACAGAATGTCTGCTTTCACTGACACCTTGCTCACAGAACTCCCACGGGGCAGGTAACCAAGTCTGTGGTACTAGGACAGTCTGCTCCTGGCCACAGCGGACTCAAGCCAACCCTGGTCCAGAACAAGAATTGGACCAGGGAGTTGTATGGGCACCACTAGGACCTGTCCAAGGAACTCCAGCACTTCCATGTGTGTTCTGCTGGATAGGAGAGAGGTGCAGGGAGATGCTGAATACCACAACACTACACTGCCTCAGAGTAGTCCTGCACTTGTAGTCACCAGGGCCAGGAAAAATCCATTTCGGTTAAGACCAGTTTAGACCAGATTTTTCTGACATATGTTAACTAAAACAGAGTAAACAATAATAAACTATACCTACAAAGACTTTCTCCTTCACCTCTCTCAACTGAGCTGTGTTGGCCAGTCATACAAGCACAGTCCACAGCCAAGTTTTAGCTATGTACATATCCATTGGTGGGGGCGGAGAGCTCCTGGGTAGAGATACTCGTTCAACCTCAGAGCTCGTCTGAGCAGCTGCCCAGGTGCATTTGTAGACTGCTCACAAGTCCAGTCACAGAAAAACTAAAATATCAGGGATTCTGTGAGATTTCCCATAAAACTACTGTAATGGCTTTCTGACACAGCCAAAATAAAACTTCAGCTATAGCTCTCACTTGCTGCCCTCAGCTTCAAATACTGATCTGCTCTGCTGCTGTAAGGGACACAGATCATGGTCTGACCTAGGAGGTGGCATCATAATCTATGACATTGACAAGTAACCAGATGCCTCTCCAACATCACATTATGGACAGCATCTTAACCCTCAGGAAAGTGATAAGCCTCCAAATTCCAGATCCAAGGAAACTATCCATAAATAGTAAATTCATTGTTTTTGAGAAAAAGTGGCTGTCAGACTTCAAGGTTAAGAAGGTATTAAGTATAAACAGTGTGTGTGTGAGTGAGTGAGTGTGTGTGTTTCTTTTGGAGCTTGAACTCGGGGCCTAGGTACTGTTCCTTAGCTTTTTCAGTCAGGGATGGTGTTTACCATATAAGCCATAGCTCTACCTTCAACTTTTTACTGGTTAATTTGAGATGAGTCATGTATTTTTTTGCCCAGCCTCTGAATCTTGATCCTCAGATCTTAGCCTCCTAAGTAGCTAAGATAACAGGCATAGCCACTGGTCCGTAGCTTATTTAAAAGCAATTAAAATATTAAAATTTTCTATTTTTAAAGAAATTAAGCAGAGTCTGTAAAATCCCGGGAGTAAATGTTTTACTTTGAAAAACCTCAGAAACTTAAATGTATTTAAGGTATATAATTAAACTTATTGGCCACAGTTTAATAACAAGTCATTGGGGTAAAACAGTACCATTTGAGTGCTAGGATGAATAAATTGCAACTGGAGAAAGTTGACTCCTGTGTTACAATGTAGACCTTCACTAAGGCCAAGGGATTAAAGAATCTTTCCCTAACTTTGTTTCCATTCACAATCATCCTTCATATTACTGTCATGGGAAGACAGTAAATTCAGAAAGGATACCTCTAGGATAAGTAAGCTTAGAAATGTTCTGTAAAGTTCATTAATTACTTATTATTAAACTTTATAATTTACATGAAAGAGGTTTACTTATTAAATAAACTGATAAAACTTATCCAACATGAGCAAACTAGACTACCTAAGGATATACAATATTTAGAGCAAACTGACCAAAATCTTAGTCAAAATTTTACATAAACTCACAAGGCTTTGAAATATTGCCTTTCTCAGTAAGCACAATTTTGAACACTATTTCCTAACAACTGTAACCTTCGATTCTACGACTGGTGTTATCTTTCCAAAGTTTTGGTTTTAAGTATGTTCCTTATCTTAAGGAGACAGTTTGTCAGTTCCAGAAATCAGACCATCTACTTTCCTGAATCAAATTTCCAATCAAACAAACAACACGAATGTCAAATCCTACAGTAGCCTGTACTTATTCCTCCTCCCTTTGGCTCCAAGGCTCTAGATAGATGAAGAGCTAGAAGTAGTGGGTGTGAAAACTCTTGCTTACATCTGTTCCACCTTTTTCCCAGAAATCTCAGGGAGGTGTTGGCTCTGGGTAAGATCACACAGGCCACAGATTTGATCCTAAAAGACAGCTCAAGCCTGTAATTCTAGCTACTCAGGAGGCTGAGATCTGAGGACTGCAGTTCAAAGCCAGCCCGGGCAATAAAGCCTGTGAGAGTCTTATCTCCAATTAACCACCAGACAACCAGAAGTGGTGTGGCTCAAGTGGTAGAGTGGTGGCCTTGAGCTGAAGAGCTGAGGGACAGGGCCTAGGCCCAGAGGTCAAGCCCCAGAACTGACAAAAAACAAAAACAAGCAAACAAACAAACCCAGCTCAGTGCTGGGTTCATCCCAGTAATCCTAGCTACTCAGGAAGTTGAGATGTGAGGATCAAAGTTCAAAGCCAGCCTGGGCAGGACAGTCGGTGAGACCCTTATCTTCAAATAACTACCAGAAAATTGAAAGAGAATGGTGGTTCGAAGTGGTACAGTGCTAGCCCTGAGCAAAAAAGCTTAGGGGCAACACCCAGGCCCTGGGTTCAAGCTCCATGACCAATATATATATATTTCCCAAAGAAAAATTAAAAGGAGAGTGCGGCACTTCCATGGGACAATTTGGATGATCTAAATATGGCTTTTGCCATACTATAAAAAAAAACTAAAAGGAAAAACAAAGCCAGCCAGGGTGACTCGTGCCTGTAATCCTAGCCAGCTACCCAAGAGGCAATGGTCAGGAGAACACGGGCTGGAGATCAGTCCAAGTACAAAGTTAGCAAGACCCCATCTCAACCGAGAAGCTGGGTGGCGTGGCACGTGCCTGGGATCCCAGTTACACTGGAGGAGAACCGAAGTCTGAGGCCCATGGCGGGGGCAGGAACATAACTAAAGCACACGAGGGCTGAGGACGTGACTCAGATGGTGGAGCTCCGAGTTTGAATCCAGAAAGCATGAATGTAGGCGCAGCCTGGAGCTCTGGCCGGCTGCGGCGCTGGCTCGGAGCGGGGCACCTCCGAGGGCTACCCCGAGCCCGGGGGGCGCGGGGGAGCGCGGGAGGGCGGCCCCTCCCTGGCTCGCGGTCACCTCAACCCAGCTTCCCGGGGTCTCCGCCCGCGCTCCCGGTCGGCGGCGCTGCCGCGCTCTTCAGCCCCGGCCCCGGCGCGCTCCCGGTTTGCTGGTGGTCCGGAGTCGGGTCTCCCGCCCGGGCTGGCCTTGAGCTCAGCCTCCCGAGCAGCCAGGGTTGCGGGCGCGCGGCCTGGCTCCTCGGGACCGAACGGCGTCCAGGGCACGGGCACCCGGGGCAGAGCGGCCGGGCCGGGCCGGCGGAGGGGAAGGGGAAGGTCCGGGTCGTCACCGGAACAAACCAACCCGGAGCCGTCTAGAAGCGGGACGCTGAGTCTCCGCCATCCCGGCGCGGGGCCAGGAGCCCGGGGCTGGCGGTGCGGCGAGCGGCTCCGGGCCGGGCGGGCGGAGGTGCGGCTGCTCCTCAGACGCCGGCTCCGGGCCGGGCGGGCGGAGGTGCGGCTGCTCCTCAGACGCCGGCTCCGGGCCGGGCCGGGCGGAGGTGCGGCTGCTCCTCAGACGCCGGCTCCGGGCCAACGGAGGTGCGGCTGCTCCTCAGACGCCGGCTCCGGGCCGGGCCGGGAGGACGGAGGTGCGGCTTCTCCTCAGACGCCGGCTCCGGGCCGGGCCGGGCCGGCGGAGGTGCAGCTTCGCGGGAGGAAAGAACTGTCGTGGCGGCACCAGCCCCCGCCGCAGTAGCGGCCCCGCCGCCCCGGGCCGCCCCCCGCCGCGCGCCCCAGGGGGAGCCGGCCCCGACCGAGCCGCGGCGGAGGCGCCGCCGGGACGCGCCGGCACACGGAGGCCGTCCAGGGCGCCGTGCAACCGGAAAGGCAGCCAAGGGCTAAGGGCGGCCGGGCCTCTCCGGGAGCGGCCCGCCCCGCCGTCCCCCCCAGCAGGCAGGTCCGTCCCGACCCCGGCCGGGCCGTCCCGCCCCGCCGACCCCCCCAGCAGGCAGGTCCGTCCCGACCCCGGCAGGTCCGTCCTGCCCCGCCGACCCCCCCAGCAGGCAGGTCCGTCCCGACCCCGGCCGGGCCGTCCCGCCCCGCCGTCCCCCCCAGCAGGCAGGTCCGTCCCGACCCCGGCCGGGCCGTCCCGCCCCGCCGTCCCCCCCAGCAGGCAGGTCCGTCCCGACCCCGGCCGGCCCGCCCCGTACTCACTCGTGCCCGCGCCGCCGGCTCGCGCCCCCGGCTCCGCACACCTGCCCGGACGGGAAGGAGCCGCGGCCGGCCCCGCCCCGGGGCGGCGCACCCCGGGCCAGGTGAGGCACTGGGGGCCGCCCAGTTCCGGCCCGGCGTCTTCCAGGCACCACTCGCCGCACCCCAACTCTTCACCCCACGGAGCCCTCCACGCGGGGCCCTCCCCGACGCCCTCTTTCACGTCGGAAATCCAAGAGGCTCGGAGCGCCACCGCGGCCTGCGGACCTGAGTCCAGCCTGGACGCGACTCCGAGGGCACGGCCCCGGAGAGCCCGGGGTCCCCGAGGTCACCGGCCTCTGCCCCGGGGGCGCGCGGGCAGCTCCAGCTCGCCCCGCCCCTTTTCGCTCCGCCTGCCCGCCCTCCCTCTCCCTCAGCCCGGCCCCTCCGCCAGCCCTGCCCCGCCCTCTTCGCCAGCCACGCCCCTCCCCGCCATCCCGCCCCGCCCTGGCGCACAGGCCGTACCCTATACGCGCCTCTGTCAACAGCACCCACCTACCAGACCTGACCAACCACAAGGCCCAGCCCAGACTTCTAGCCCCGCCCTTGGCCACAAGGCCACGCCCACCCCTTAGGTGCTGGGCGGACCACCCTCCTTCGGGGTGGACGGTGTTGGTGCGGGCGGGATGTTTGCAGTGCGCGTGCGCAGCCTGAAGACGCGCCGACGTAGTCTTTAGGCGCCAGCGAGCACCGGGGAAGATGGCGGAACGCAGTCATAAGTCCGTGCTATTCGTGTGTCTGGGTAAGGGTGCGCTTGGGACGCTGAGGGCCTCCCGTGTGCCCCAGGCTGCACACTCGACGCAAACCTGGGCCTGGGGCGGCGGCTTTGGTGGGCCAGGCTGGCGGAGCCCTCGCCCGCCGTGCCCGCACTCGCGGGCGCTTCTCCCCGCGCCGCGTCCTCCCTCGCTGTCCTGTTCCCGCAAGCCTGCGTGCTCGGAGCTGGCCGCCATCTGCCCTCCCGGCGGCCTGGCGTCCGCGGCACGGCGTCCCCGGTTCCACCCGCCCGTGGGGGAGGGCCTGCGGCTGCACGGGACGCGTTCTGCCGGGACCCTCCCCAGCCGAGGCTGCGCTGCTGCCCGGCTGCCCACCTGCCCGGCTACCCGCTGCCCACCTGCCCCGGCTGCCCGCTGCCCACCTGCCCGGCTGCCCACCTGCCCCGGCTGCCCGCTGCCCACTTGCCCGGCTGCCCCGGCTGCCCACCTGCCCCGGCTGCCCACCTGCCCGGCTGCCCGCTGCCCACCTGCCCGGCTGCCCGGCTGCCCACCTGCCCCGGCTGCCCGCTGCCCACCTGCCCGGCTGCCCGCTGCCCACCTGCCCCGGCTGCCCGCTGCCCACCTGCCCCGGCTGCCCGCTGCCCACCTGCCCCGGCTGCCCGCTGCCCACCTGCCCCGGCTGCCCGCTGCCCACCTGCCCCGGCTGCCCGCTGCCCACCTGCCCCGGCTGCCCACCTGCCCGGCTGCCCACCTGCCCGGCTGCCCGCTGCCCACCTGCCCTGCTGCCCACCTGCCCCGGCTGCCCGCTGCCCACCTGCCCCGGCTGCCCACCTGCCCGGCTGCCCGCTGCCCACCTGCCCCGGCTGCCCGCTGCCCACCTGCCCCGGCTGCCCGGCTGCCCACCTGCCCGGCTGCCCGCTGCCCACCTGCCCTGCTGCCCACCTGCCCCGGCTGCCCACCTGCCCGGCTGCCCACCTGCCCGGCTGCCCTCCTGCCCGGCTGCCCGCTGCCCACCTGCCCCGGCTGCCCGCTGCCCACCTGCCCCGGCTGCCCGCTGCCCACCTGCCCCGGCTGCCCACCTGCCCGGCTGCCCACCTGCCCGGCTGCCCGCTGCCCACCTGCCCTGCTGCCCACCTGCCCCGGCTGCCCGCTGCCCACCTGCCCCGGCTGCCCACCTGCCCGGCTGCCCGCTGCCCACCTGCCCCAGCTGCCCGCTGCCCACCTGCCCGGCTGCCCACCTGCCCGGCTGCCCGGCTGCCCACCTGCCCCGGCTGCCCGCTGCCCACCTGCCCTGCTGCCCACCTGCCCGGCTGCCCTGCTGCCCACCTGCCCCGGCTGCCCGCTGCCCACCTGCCCCGGCTCCCCACCTGCCCGGCTGCCCATCTGCCCGGCTGCCTGCTGCCCACCTGCCCTGCTGCCCACCTGCCCGGCTGCCCTGCTGCCCACCTGCCCCAGCTGCCCGCTGCCCACCTGCCCTGGCTGCCCACCTGCCCCGGCTGCCCGCTGCCCACCTGCCCCGCTGCCCACCTGCCCCGCTGCCCACCTGCCCCGCTGCCCACCTGCCCCGCTGCCCACCTGCCCGGCTGCCCACCTGCCCGGCTGCCCACCTGCCCGGCTGCCCACCTGCCCGGCTGCCCACCTGCCCCGGTTGCCCACCTGCCCGGCTGCCCACCTGCCCGGCTGTCCGGCTGTCCCGGCTTGTTGGCCGCGCCCTGAGCTGCCCTTCTTAGCAGTGTCCACCAAAGGAGGCTAACGGCCTAGGTTCCAGCTTCCCAGTATCCCACACCTTCTGTAAACTTGGTCTCCATGCATGAAAACTGTGACGTTTTGAACATTAACCCTTCAGATACTTTCTATCTCAGAATTATTTTGATTCTTAGGATTTCAACGTTGAGGCTTCCTTACTCAAAATAGAATTCACGCTTTAATTCTCAGTGCTTCCAACCCCTGGAGATGACTACTGAGTTGTCAGTAGGCCAGTTCTTCCAGATACACATTTTCTACAGAAAAAGCAGCTCCTCTTTAGGATGGCTGTTTGCCACAACTTTCCTACCCCCTTACCTGTTCCCACCCACATGTGGGTGCTCCCTTCCTGATCCAAATACAACTCTTGTTAAGATGCTCTACTTTTTCGGATACTGTGTTGCATCTTGTCTGGAAACCCTTGTATTTTATGAGGTCAAATTGATATACACCTCTTTGCTTCCTCAAAGAAGTACACTGCTTCCTTTGGCTCTTGAGATACTTTATTACAGAAATTTCATTGTAATTATTTGACAAGCCTGTTGAGATCCTAGTGAGATTTAGCTGTATTACAAGTAATAACTATGGCATGTTTTTCTTTGTTTTTCCAATTTTAGGGTAGTATGGTATATGAACCTAAGTATTGGTAGTAGTTTATTTCTATGAGGCAAAATGTAAACAACCCACCCTATTGATAGTGACCATCATTGGATTTTTGAGGTCCTTAGTGAACTGGAGAAATCAGCAAATTTATTAAACAGTTTGTTTCAGGTTGAGTAATTATAAGTGTCCCAGGCTGTGTTTATTTTTTTTAATAATGTTGGATTTTTTTCAGCATAGTGGCTGTTAATAGGCAAGTGTATGCTTGCTTATATTTTTCTTTAATACAGCAACTTTTTTCCCACTCCCACTCACTATATTCCAAGCAGTGGGGATGATAGAGTAGTGAACACCACAGATAACACTCAGTCACTGTTTGCCAGTTGAGCAGTGCTATTGTACTGGTTCACTTAAAGAAAAACCAGGAATTGGTGGGAGTGGGGTGCAGTTTGTGACTAGAAAAGTCTCACCTGAAGTGACCCACATGTGAGCAGATAATTATGGGAGTGAGGAGGCATGTTTATTCTGGGCCAGATGTCAGCTGGTGTGGTTTTTAGGCAGTCCTGCTGGCCATAGCCCCAAATAGGGAAGCCACAGTGGCTAGACCTGGAGACAGGAGGCCTTTCTCAACCTTGAGTCCTTTGTGTCTGAGGAGTGTGTAGATAACTTGAGTGACTGTTTTGTCTGCATCCATAGATAACTAATATCCTCCTTGATGCATGTAGAAACCTTAGGTCCTTACATACAGTGGATGCTTTAGGCCTGATTATGCATATCCTATAAAAAAAAAAAAACAGTGAACACTTTAGCTTTGAGGTAAAACCAGTGCTTTTGCCCTAGACAACTCAAATGATCAAACTTAACTATGTCCGAATATAACTTTATTCATAGACACCAGCATTGGAACATTACCTAATTGGTCACATGTTACAAGTTTTTCTGCTTTTGCATTTTTTCAACTACTTAAAACTAAAAATTACTCATAGCCTTCTGTGCAGTATACAAAGGTGGTAGTCCAAGAGATGTAATTTCTGGACCCCTGTTTGTGGTGCAGATCTTGGGAGACTTCTGTGAAGACTTTGACATGCTAGATAAGTCACTGTCGTGGCCAGGAATGTAAGCTGCAGTGTAGAGATTAGACTGAAGGAGGGGCTGGTTCTAATGAGGGTGCCTTTGCTAGTAAGGTGGAAAATCTGGAGGTGAGGGGTGGGGAGAGAGTATGAATGCATTCTATACAGTAGTCCACCCAGGAGACAGTGGGAGCTATATGCTTGGAACATAAAAGATTTATTACTTCAGAGCCTTCAGTTAGGCTCTTGATATTGAAGTGTAGAAAAGCAGCTGAGGTTTGTCAGTGGTTGGGGTATTCGTTGAGCAGAAGAGCTTCTTACTTCAGCAAGGTTGTGAGAAGAGCTTTGTGCTCTTAAGCTATACCCACTGGGGAAGGTGGCTTTGATCTGAGCCCCAGCCAGTGTGGCTGGGAAGAGAACCTTGGTGGCATATTATTGGACCTTGTTCTGAAGGCAAAGCCTGAGGCTCTACTGGTGGCCAATTGTGCTCCATTTTCTGTTGTTTTTATTGGACAGGATTGAACCCACGGTCTTGCACATGGCTAGGAAAGGTTCCTGCCACACAGCTAAATCCCCAATTCTTGTGGATTTTAATAATGTATTTTATAGTATTAACTTTGGGAATCTGGAAACACTAGATTACAAGTTACTAGGATTTGGAGTTCTTTTTGGTTGATTTTGCACTTAGTATTACTTATAGTTTTTCCAGTAGAGCTTTTTTTCAGTCTATACTTTGTTTCACTTAATTGCTTTAAATATAACTATCTGGAGGCAAAATATGGATGAATATTCCCTTAAACACTGACTAGCTCAAGTTTTTGTATTACTATGGAGAAATTAAGCTGTTATTTTACAGTGAATGATAGTTATTAGGAAAGAGGTGGAGTTGAGCTAGTTTCTTATTGTTGTTAGTTTGGTGGTGGTACTGAGGTTGAACTCAGGGTTGTTCATATGTAGAAACTCTCATCTCGAGTCCCAGCCCGAGCCTATTGGGTCTTGTTTTTTGTTTTTCCTCCAAGCCATCCTAGACACCAGAGTCCTGTTTATACCTCCCATCTAGCTAGGTGATGGGGGTGTGCCACCATATAGAGGTGGGGTCTTGCAGTCTTTTTGCCCCTTATGGCTTCAAACTATGATCACCTGATCTATGCCTTCCAAGTGGCTGGGTTTACAGGTGTGAGCTACCATGCTCAGCCTAGGGTTCATCTATTGTGTTTTTAAATGCTGAAATATAGACATCTACTACTATTTCTAGAGTTCTAAAATAATAACACTTATCCTGACTTGGCATACAGTCAAGGTATTGCCAGGGGTATCACCTCTGATGATGTGATCATACACTCTTAGGAAGCCTTTCAATAGTAAGGTATTTGCTGATGGTAATACTTGTTGAAAAATCAAACAAAAATTAGATTGTGGAAAGGAAAAACTTTATAACATGCACTAGTATATAGAGGTCATTCAAAATTAATTCTTGTTTTATGTAGTTTAAAGAAGAGACTTTTTACAACTATAGGAAATCACAATGTATATGAAAAGGGCTCAGGTCTTGTAATATAGAAGCTGAGGAAAGTGGAAGTGAATTGGTCCAGGGACTGGAGCATTAGTGTTTTATCACATGTCTGAAAATTCTGGTTCATCTTGTTTACCAAAAGCTAGGAGAGTCCAGCTTTGGAGAGTAACATCTGTCATGTAATAGCCTCTCTTCTAACAGTTTCACTTTCCTCTCTTCATTTCCTATAGCCACCTTTTTAATTGTAATCCTAATGTTGGCTTACATGATACCCCAAAATACGGTGCTTTATCTTGCTGAGTACTTTGAACAAAGTCTCTGACCTTCTGCCTACTTGTTTCTTATCCTTGAAGCAAAATTAAATTTCACTAAGGCATATCATAAAAATAATAATTCCCTCCCTCAAGTCTTAGACCTAGAAAGATTAATTACTCTTCCTCCTTCTTTGAAGAACTTCCCTTCAGTAAGGTCCTGCCCCATATTTGGGAAGACAGTACTATACAGAGAAGTCAAGAATAATCTGCCTTGCTGAATTCTGCTCTGTCTTTCACCGTTAGATAGTAGTCTTTGTCCTGACATTCTGCACAGTGGTGCAGAATTCATTGAACCTTAGCATGAAACTGCAACTGTCTTTGCATTTTCATTTTGAAGCTTCCTATGGCACATAAAGTTGATTAAATAAATCTCTTAGACTTTTCTTTTGTCGACCTGTCAGAATTGAGTGAGTGATGTTCAGATGAATAAGGAAAGGGATCACACTTTTCTACCTCACACTGTTGTCCATCAGCTTTTTCATATTCACCTCATAGATGGTGTCTTTGCCTTTAATTTCTCTAAAAGGGTCGGCAGTTATTTTCCTATGTTAGAAATAGCTTTCTGTATGTGCCCTAGCACAATGCCTGGCTCAGAAGGAGTAAGTATATTAACGCTTTGTGGAACTGATGGTATCGCCTTTTCCCTGGAGCTGTGCTGTATTGAGTCCAGACCTGGGTGTGTTGTTAGGACCCCCAGGCCTGGCCCCCTTGCGTGCATTCACCACCATCTGGTTATGAACCGACACAACTGAATCCTTGAGTCTGCCACCCCTGGATCCAGTGCTTCTTTCTGCCTATTAGAACCCTTCGTCTGTCCAGTCAGAATTTTCCTTCTATTTTATCTTTGTGGAAACTTAGTTTTCTGTGTTCCTGTAGGGTAGTGTCCGTCTGCATTTATTTTATTTTGATTATACTAACTGTCTCCTTGTGTACAGGGCTGGCCACATATACCTTTTTGTAGAAATCAAATAAATGTCTTTTGTCTTTCCCCTGGGTGGTAACAAAGTTGACCCTTCTGTTGGCTCTGGAGAAGTAACCTCTAATTTCTTGGGGACTTTCTAGGAATAGTAGAGTGTCTGTTAATCACAGTGGCCCTGTAGTTTATACTAGAGAGAGACACAGTCTTGAGCTAGAAGCCCTGTGAGCCACATACAGCAGTGGGAGAGCCCTGAGGTGAGTTCAGCCACATGACCAATTCAGTCAGTTGTCTTTACATCTTTAAATCTCAGTACCAGCCCTCTCTACCAGCTATTGGGCAAGCTTCCTGGGTAGCAGTAGTGCTCGTGGAGTGCTGTCAACATTCGTGGCAAGAGGAGGGCACTTCATCTCAAAGGACAAGGAAACTTCCTAGTTTGTGCCTTCTTTTTTGGCTAGTTCTAATCAGTATCTTTTAATAAAACTGCCATATGTATCAAACTTCCCTGGGTATGGTGAGTCATTCTAGAGATTTGTCTAACACAATTGATGTCAAGATTCACAGGGTCTGTGAAGATCCCTGATTTGCAGTCAGCTGGAATGGAGTGAGAGTAGCCCTGGGGACTGTAACTTGGCTACCACTCTCAGAAGTTATGGCAGCTGTGGCCGTTAGGAAGGGCTAACCCTGAACGTCAAGTTGGCTGTCTTCTGGTGGCCACACTCCTTATAGCATAGGACTCTTGCTCATGATCACTCAGTAGATCGTGTTGACTTCAGCTAAACGTGCTTGTTTATTTGGGCACTGTTTTATGAATTAACTTATCCTCAAGTGTGATATTCTCCGAAAGCCCCACTGTTGGCAGGGAGACAGGCACTTCCAGTTCAGATACTTCATTTTAAACTGAGTTACAACCTGCTTCATGGATTTCATGACCTGCTAGCTCATTAGCATCCTTGTGAGAGGTGATTTGGTTATTACTGCTTTCTTCATATTTTATACGTGGGTAGTTGGCGACATTACTGTACTTGTGTTTGATAGCTGCTCTGCATGGGGGTTCACCCTAGACTGCAGTGTTGGTCCTCCACAGAGCAGATTACAGCCACTCTGCCTTGGATGTACAGGGTAGACTGCCTTCATGTTAGGAGTCACTGTCCACCTTTCCACCACAGCTAACACTCTGTGCCCTCTTCCTTCTTTCTAAGGTAACATTTGCCGGTCACCCATTGCAGAAGCAGTTTTCAGAAAACTTGTAGCTGACCAAAATGTCTCAGATGATGTAAGTACCATTCAGTAACTTAAAGTGGCCAGCCTAAACACCTTTGGGCAGGAAGTGCTGGAACATTTTTTTTCTCTCCTGCAGTGGAGGATAGACAGTGCGGCCACATCCACATACGAAGTGGGAAATCCCCCTGACTATCGAGGGCAGAGCTGCATGAGGAAGCATGGCATCCCCATGAGTCACACTGCCCGGCAGGTACCGTACTGGAGCTTGACCTTTGTTTTTTCTTACAGTGGGCCATTGACAGCGGTGCTGTTTCCGACTGGAACGTGGGCCGTGCCCCAGACCCAAGAGCTATGAGCTGCCTAAGAAATCATGACATTAGCACAGCCCATAAGGCAAGACAGGTAGAAGAGATCTTGTTATAATTTATGCTACATAGAATTTCATAACCTGAAAAGTTGTGAGACACTGACCAAGCTTGTTAACCCAGAGTTAATTTAGTTCTAAAAGACTTGCATGACTAGGATTCTGTATTAAAATGTACGTGAAGATTGCATAAATCATGATGGGAGAGCATTGGCTACAAGCTAGCCTGAGCTTTCCTATTGTGTAGCAACACACCCTCCTTAAAAGTTGAAGTGGGATCTTAGCATGTACATTCAGCTGCTCTGTGAGAGGCTCATGTTACTCCTCCTAGCAGTCGATCTCTCTTGTGACATCCTGCTCCTGCTGGACACATGACAAGTTCTGAGTTTGGGGTTAGATGGTGCTGCTGTGAAAGGGGGTGTGTGTGCCTATGGTTCTGAAGGATTTATACCTAGCATTGAATTCTACATGTCAGGTTTACACAGCCTCATGAAACAACACTAGAGATGTGGCTTTTTTTTCCTCTCAAGTTTGTAGAAGATAGTATTTCTGATTTAATATTTTGGAAAATTTTAGCTCAATTTTTTGTTACTGTTTCTTTGAAATGGCTGTCATTTTCTTAAGTACTGTAAGGGTTTTGTCCATCATTGGCTTTAGCAGCTTTCCTATGGGATTTAAAGAATGCTTCCTGAACTATGACTGGATGTTTTCATTTGTAAGTGGTTTGGAAGTGGGACCTGAATAACTTGTAAGTGAAAAAGGTTCTCTCAGGCTATAAAGGCTGCGATCTTTGCAGTAAGGTCCCGTCAGTGCCACAGAGGCCAAGAGGTAAGAAGCCCTACACTGTTACGTGCTTAGGGCTCCTGGAACTCACCTAAACCTGATTTTCTGTTGTCTGTGGCTGTGTTCCTGCTATAGTTACAAAGCTGAATACTTTCTGGGGAGAGAGTGTGTCCTGTAAGGCCGAGTCATGCCCGAGGAGCACATTCATAGCTTTGAAGATGAATTTTGATTTCTGTGTGTTTTTTGGTTGTTTTTGATAATGGGGCTGATTTGCAGAAGCTACTTCCTGTCTAGCTGTAGCAGAAATGCTTCACTGTGCATTTTTGTAAGATGTAAGTAAAATCTTCCTTTTCTCAATTATTTTAACACCTAAAAATCATGTATGGATTGACTTAAGTTCTTAAGCATTTTTTAAAGATGAATTAATTGCAATAAGTCCCAAATAAGCAATGTTTAGATAGTTCTCACACAACTAATTTGGAAAAGTAGTATAATATTTAGTATTATAATACTTGTTCTAATAGATTTTGAAATAAGTGAATATTGTGGAATGTTATACAGTACGGAACTTTGCATTTGTTTAAATGGTACACTAAAATTAAAGTACATTTATAAATGTTGGCATATTTTTAAAAAATGAGCAGCAAGCTTATTTATTGGGTTTTTGCTCTTGTCATTTTGGTCTATCCCCTTTGACCAGGTTTTCAGTGTTCCTGATAGAATTTCATTTGACAACTCTTTGTACATATGTATTTAAGTGTATTTCTAAGCCACACGCCAGTCCCTTTGGTGTTTAGTTTGCATTTTACAGAGGGTCTTAGGCTTTTCTTCATGCCTTCTGTTGCAGTCCTCCAATGAATTAGGGTGTAGAATTATCTCCACCTCCTAAGTAGCTGGGATTACAGGCATGAACAAACATTCCTGAGTTGATTTAGTTTTTTGAGATAGGGTCTTACTCTTTGCTTAGGCTTGCTTTGGACTGAGATCCTTCTGATTTTGCCTCCCAAATAAATAGGATATTCATAACCCTAATATTTTAGGTGTTTTTGATTGTTGAGGATTTGTTATTAAAGTTCATTTATTTCTTTATTTTGGTGATAGGGCTTGAACTCTGGGCCTGGGTGTTGTCCCTGAGCTCTTCAGCTCAAGGCTAGCACTCTACCACTTGAGCCATAGTGCCACTTCTGGCTTTTTCTGTGTATATGGTACTGAGGAATCAAACCCGGGGCTTCATGCACACTAGGCATATGACTGGGATTCTGTATTAAAATGTTACATAAAAAGTTACCTAAATCATAATGGGAGAGCATTGGCTATAAGCTATACTAACTTAACTCAGGGTTAACAGAGTTAACTCTACCACTAGGCCACATTCCCAGCCCTAAAGTTTTATTCTTAAAAATTATTTTCACTTTTGTTCTGAAACATGTTTTTGGTTTTCCTTTTCTTTTTGATTACATCATTATAATAGTCAAAATCCACAGATAATTCTTTCACTAACATTTTAAATAGGTTTACATTTATGATGTTAGAACACAGTATATGTTCATATTGGAGTCAGCAAAGGTCCTGGAAGGAACCATTTTCAGTGGTAGCCTAACCTGTGGACTTTGAGTCAGAGAGAACCAAGCCCTACAATGTAGAGAACAATCAGTCCGTTCCTGGCCCACATTTGACAGTCTTCTTGTCATTGGTCCTCTCACTACATTTTCCTCTCTGCTTCTTTTTTTTTCCTTAGACACATTTGTCCTCTTACATAGTCCCACAAAGACAAGATCTGTCACTTCAGCTGGTGTTTGTCACCATGGCCTAAGACATTCAGTGCTTATGAGCATGGAGAAAGGAGATGAGAGTTGAGAATGGAGAGGATTAAGTATGAGGCATTTCAGTATAGTGTCAGAAATATACATTGTTGCCAGGCACAGGTGGCTCATGCCTGTAATCCTAGCTGCTTAGGAGGCTGAGATCTGAGGATCACGGTTCAAAGCCAGCCCAGGAAAGTCCCCGTGAGACTCTTTATCTCCAGAAAGATAAACCAGAAAACTGGAAGTGGTGCTGTGGCTCAAGTGATAGAGAGCTTGCCTTGAGCGGAAGAGCTCAGCACCCAGGACCAGAGTTCAAGCCCCCAGGACTGACCCCCCTCTCCCCCCCAAAAAAAATAAAGAGAAAGAAAAAAGAAATATACATTGTTACTAGGGGGCTGAAGCTAATGATGAATTTTTATGTTTATATCATACATTATTTTGTAACTATCCCAAGAAACCTGTGATACAAAATTTCTTTGCAGCGCAGTTCAGGAAATACATTAACTGTGTTTTAACCTAAAAATGTCCTAAATTGGGCTGGGAAGTTGGCTCAGTGGTAGAGTGCTTGCCTTGCATGCATGAGGCCCTGGGTTCGATTCCTCAGCACCACATAAGCAGAAAAAAGCTAGAAGTGGCACTGTGGCTCAATTGGTAGGATGCTAGCTTTGAGCTGAAGAGCTGAGGGACAGCGCCCAGGCCCAGAGTTCAGCCCCCACAATGGACCAAAAAAAAAAAAAAGTCCTAAGTTATTTACTTAAATGGTTAATGAGTAACAGACTCAACTATGTGTCTGATTCTGATATAAATGTAGACCCTGTGTTTTGACTTATTTACTCAATTTTAGGTTACCAAAGAAGACTTTGCTACATTCGATTACATACTGTGTATGGATGAAAGCAATCTGAGGTAATCATATTTTAAAAAATATTTTTTTCTCAGTTCAGTATTAGGCCAGGTTTGCTGTCTAAAAGTACCTTTTATTATCTTACAGTGTTAATGTACAGTAATTGTTACAGTGTACAGAATCACTTATTTAGTATAGCAAGACGTTCAGATTATTTGCCTGGTAGATCTGTTTATAAAGATGTAACTATAAAGATGTAACTCCAGAAAGGGTTGGCTGATGGAACCAGATACTAGTGGGTTGTGATCTGTATCTGCAGAAGGTAATACATTGATTTGTACAAGACTGGTTTTGTTACTGCTATAATGATTTAAGAACTGGGTATTTTGGGGTTTTTTTGTTTGTTTTTTTTTGAGGGGAGGGTCTGGTCGTGGGGCCTGAACTCTGGGCCTGGGCACTGTCCCTCAGCTCTTCAACTCAAGGCTAGCGCTCTACCACTTGAGCCACAGCGCCACTTCCAGCTTTTTTCTTTTTGCTTATGTGGTGCTGAGGATTCGAACCCAGGGCCTCAGGTATTCAAGGCAAGCACTCTATCACTGACCCGCCTTCCCAGCCCCTTGCTGGTTTTTTTGTTTGTTTGTCATGGGGCTTGAACTCTGGGCCTGGGTGCTGTCCCTCAGCTCTTCAGCTCAAGGCCACCGCTCTACCACTTGAGCCACAGCGCCACTTCTGGTTTTGGAGTGGCTAATTGGAGATAAGAATCTCACGGACTTTCCTGTCTGGGCTGGCTCTGAACCTCGATCCTCAGATCTCAGCCTCCTGAGTATCTAGGATGACAGGCATGAGCCACCAGTGCCCAGCTTTATTTTGTTATTTCTTATTCCCCCATTATCTCTGCCCCTCTTTCCCCCAGTAAGTCTGACAAAACCGAAGACTTTTTTGATAACTGAAACTGATGGACTAGGTTATTAGACAGCAGTGACTATAGTGTTGATTTGTTCTGCAGGCCCCAGCAGTTCTTATTATCAAAGAAGAAATTAAGAAACAGAACTTAAAGTTACTAACCCAAGTTCATAGAGTGGGTGGATGTGGAAGATCTTATGCATTGCACTCACCACTCCAACCACAGCCCACCCTTGGTCCTTGCTCACTCCCCATTCGGCCCAGCCTTGCCTGCCCATCTCTAAGATATGGCACACATGGCTTCCTTAGTTCCTTTCTGTTGCCTTTGCTGGTCTCTGAAACAGTGTCTTTTGGGGAGCTGTGTCAAAATAAATGAAAAAGAAGAACACTTAAAGATGTACACTTTGTGGGCAGAATCACTGAAAAGGTGCTGCTGTTTTGGGTCTACTCCCCGAGAGACAGAGCTGACCTAGTTGCATAGGGGTCCTGAGGCTCTGTAAAGGGTTGTGTTTCATTTCAATTCAGGTTATGCTGGACTTTGATGTAGGTATTCAATTCAGGTTACGTTGGCTGGACTTTGATGTAGGTATTTCTTAAACCCTCAGCAGATGTCCCTGTTTAACTTGAAACCATAGGTCAGAAAAATAAGTTCATGTTTCAATTTTGCAGAGATTTAAATAGAAAAAGTAATCAAGTTAAAAACTGCAAAGCTAAAATCGAACTGCTTGGGAGCTATGATCCACACAAACAACTCATTATTGAAGATCCCTATTATGTAAGTACATACAGTTCAGGTTGTGGGGCGGCCTAAGGATGGGCAAGCTGTAGCCTGTCATATTACATGACAGGCTGAGGTCTCTTAAGGACATCTTTGTTTTGCAGTATTGCTAGTATTTTTTCTTCCTGTCCTTTCAGGGAAACGACTCGGACTTCGAGCTGGTGTACCAGCAGTGTCTCCGGTGCTGCAGGGCCTTCCTAGAGAAGGCCCACTAGGCCAGCACTGCCCTCAGCCAAGCCAGCGACTCACCCCACTAGTCCTGTGCCTAAGTGTAGTGGCGTTCCTTAGCCCCAGCCCCTGTTGTTTCTTCAGCTGACTGACTCTTTCTTATCTTAAAAGTAATTGTAGGTGACAATTAGTTTTATTTATCCAAGAATAAAAAGTTTTTGTTTGAGGAAATTAGTTGACTAGTTGAACTTCTCACTTTGCTGATTACAAAACAGTGGAACAAGCAAATGTGGGAGAACAAAATACAACTCAGGAAGTAATAATGACTGAGCTCCAGAAGACCTGGACAGTTTGGTCTACCTGGCATGTTGCCTGCCTAGCAATGTAGCGCCACTGCTCCCTGTGTATCGTGCTGACCTGGGCTCGTGCAGAGTCACAATAGCTCTACTGATAGCAGCTCCTCTGCCTACCGGAGAAATGTTCTAGATCAGTTTACTCACAGTACACACATGTTTAAGACAGAAGCAAGGCATGGGGTGCCTGTAAGTCCAGCACAGGGAAGCTGGGCAGGAGAATCATAAGTTCAAGCCAGCCTGGGTGATAGCTTGCCTTAGGATAACAACACAAAATAAGGAAGATTGGATTGGTGAAATAACTCTTTAGCCTTTTTACTGCTTGTTTCTTTGTGTCTAGTTCATTTCATGGGAGTAAGATTATTTGCTCCCATTTGAGCCACTTTGCCTTGAAGAATTGAATTCTGTATTGGAAGTACACTTGTTTGCAGGTTACCTTTGGTCAGTAGAGAGTAGGTTTTCCATACACCTGCAACTCATCAAGTGTCCAAAAGAAAGGACCAAATGTGAAAAGTTTTAAAAATTGCAGAGTCCCGTTACTTTGGTGTGCTGTAAGGGTATGTTAGTGATTGCTCTTTCACCAGCACTTAGTAACGCTCAGGCAAACAGCTAACTTTGGTGCGCCATCAATTAGCTCACCTCACACCATAAAGATATTTCAGAAAAGACTGTCTTCAAAATAAACTGTGGAGTTACATAAGATAAATCTGGTGTTGGTCTGCTTTGTTAATGACAAGTAAAAAGCATTTGCAAACATCCCCTTATGTGTTCCTTTCCACATGGTTAGCGGTGGTATGTGTATTATCCTCAATATTTGGGAAGTAAAACAGGGAGGCAGCACTTTGTTGCCACATATAGCATATCTAGGTGATGGGACACTTCCAGGAAACTGCCTAGAAATGTCCCTAACATGGCTGTCCTTCTGGAGTCAGTGCCCCAGCTTCTGAGGAATTACTAGTACAGACAGAAAACTTAGGAGGGTAGGTTAGATTAGGACTAGGGTAAATTGAAAGAATTGAAAACTTAAGTGGTCAGTCATTAGTAGGAAATAATCAAATGAGACCAAACAGTCTCTTGTTATTAGTTGTTTTTAATCTCAAATTCCTTCCTCTTGTATTCAAGTAAAATTCTAGTTTTCTTTAATGTTTATACATACATATGAAATAAACACGTAGGGCTTAATGGCTATTTGTTCCTTAGTGCTGGTCCAGATAGCACCATCTTATGGGGGCTGGTAACCAAGCACTGCTAGGTTTAACTGCTTTGCTAAGTTCAACTTATCTTTGTAGTTAGATCAATTACATTTGTTTAAACTCTACCCATAAAGGTTTGGGACTGCTGAAAAGTCTTGGAGTTCTTCTTTGTTTGGTGGTGTCTTAACACAGATGGGAACAGAGAATACATTTACTTGTCTCGGCTACTGAATCAGGCCTCGCTCTTTGAGGAAATGTCACTAGTATTTAAAAACCTCAAAGCTGCTAATTTTCTTCTGCAGACAGGAACTTTTAAGTTTGATTTATGCCTCCTAAGTTCTGTGACATGCCAGTGAATCTTGGTAGATGTGCAAATCACAAATTCCCAGTGATAAGAGTTTAAAATCACTTTGAAGATTCCATATGACAAACATTTCATTTATTACTTGTTTTTATTTACATTATTTACATATTGCACAGTAGCTGGGATGCTATTTTACATTATTCTTACATAAGATAAATGGGATTAGCTTGGATGTATTCAGATTTATACTCTATTCCCTCCAAAACATGGTTGAAGTTTTTTGGCTTAAGTTCTTTTATATTTTTATGCAGTTCCAACTAATACTCTGGGAGTTTAATTGTAAAAGTAATAAACTATCAAATCATATTGTATGCTATATGAAAATATAGTTTTAAGATTTCTGCCTATGTCTCTAAAGAAATACTCTGATTTGCCTAACCAGGAAAATGAAGTATTTTCTTCTACACAACACATCAAATGTAGTGTTTTCTTGTTTTTTTAATAGTTTGACAAGGATCATTGTCAAGTATACTGATTTACTGAATATATATTTGCACAGTGTCAACATACAAAACAACGGAATTATGGAAGTCTGTCTGCAAAAATAAATCTCTGTCCACAGGGAATGGTAAAGAAGATGGTTCTGTTCCCTGTTGTTTTCCAAGGCACTTCGCAGGGTTCCTGGCATGTTGCTCCTTTGCAGCTGAAAAGAAGTATATTTGCTTTCATAAAACCACTCAATTCTAGAGGACCTGTGAACAGCAGCCGTGTAACGTAACACATTTATAAACAAGGAATCTCAGTATGCATGTGTGTTTCTTCATGTTCCAGGAAGGGCAGTCTCATTTATTTTGGAGGACAGCTTAGTTGTGTGGTTGTGTGCCTGCTGTGCCAGCAGGATGAAAACCATCATGCCCATGTGTGAAAGTTTAAGGAATCGCACTCAGGCTGGCCTGTGCAGTTGGAATCCCCAGGAATTCCATTCACAGTGATTTGGGGATTTTTGCAGCAGTTATGGAAGAGCTGGCCTGCCTTTCACTTCTGCACAAGAGTAAGCAAAACTACTAACTTAAGACAATGTTATTGTTTGTAGTACTACGTGTTAGAATACTATGTATTGTTTATTTTTAAAATGAGGGATAACTTCATTTAGTAGGATATAGTCATCAGGCTAAACCTGGTACACTTAGGTTCTTACTAATCAAAACCACATTTTAAAAAAGTCCCAGAGCTCAGAATTTCCTTTAACTGAATCTGTAAGGCCAGTAATGTGTGTGTGGCTCTCAGAGAACATACAGTTTCTCTTTGGTCTATGGAGGTTACTAACAGCTGCAGAGAAGAGACCCATGAATTTGCTCCTGGACTTCCTCTTGGACCTTGTAAAGGCAGTACCTCCTCCGGGTGGGCCTTTAAGAAGGAGGCTTTGGGCTGGAACTAGGACAGGCATCTGATCCTGTCTTAGGACAGATGACGGGCCCTGGGCCCTGAATGCAACTGAGGATGGCTCAGATTTAAGCAGCAGAGCATGTATACAAGGGTACAGAGAGACTTGGGATGGCTGGCAAGTTAGAGGTTTTCTATTGTAGTGTAATTTAATCTTCAAAAACTCAGGTTTATAAGCTTATTGTACCTAACAAGAATTATCTGTTTCAAACTATCTACTTCCTTGCCAGAATGAGCCTGTGACGTCTGTGACCATCAAGTGGGTGGCATTGACGTAGACTCTTACGTGCACAAGCCTTAGCTGCCTACCTAGTGTGCTTCAGATTCCCCTGGGAAGTGGAAGAGGACCAACATGTGACTCTTCAGTTCCCCCACCATACATTTTGCTTGTTGCTTTCCTGTGATGTACCCAGGTTATATTCAGCAAGCATAGGTGCAAGAGCAGGTCAAGCCCTTGTAGGACAAGGTCCCTGATGATGACCTGGCTTTAGGAAACAACTACAAGTCCCTGTGGGAGCAGTTAGCTGTCAGCAGAAGGGAGGCAGCGTGGCATGCAGGCAGGGTAGTTAGGTCTTAGTGGGTGAGCTTCCCCTCTCAGCAACTTGAAATTGTTTCCAAAGAGGCCCCTGGTTACCTCAGGAACAGTGGTGACCCAACTAGAAAAAAGTGACATTCTTATCTCCCCAGCACATCAACTTGGGAAGAAAACAGGAATATATTTTTCCATTGTTTCAGAGAGAAAAGCCTTGCATGTCATAAAGATTGGAGAGCATTAGAGTAAGAAGGAAAGCATGAACTTTCCAGCTTTGACTGACATTAAAATACCTTTGCTTCCTACAGCAGAAAGAGCAGTTATCTTTTATAGCCTTCTACTGCCTCACCCTGGTGTGATTCCTGTCATTTAATGGCACTCACTGCTGATGGGGAGGCCCCAACCAGGTCCATTGTCCATCTCAGTGTGTGTACACTGCCTTCATTCACACAGCATCAGTGCATGAAGCAGTCAGAACCAGAGCAACCACTTGAAATAAAAAACAACCCTTTTCATTGTTTTCCTGGGCAGCTGGAATGTTTTCTGGTAATTGCTATTTGCAGGCAGGAAGCACATCTTACTGGTGGTGGCATGCACCCACCTGTCAGTGCCTAACACACCGACAGCAGAGAATATCAAACTGGCACAAAGAGTTTTACCAAGCTGTCTAAAGTGCCTGAGTCCTGCAGCATTTGCATTAGGAAAATGAAGCATTGTCTGCTGTTCATTATTGGCTGCACAGTTGATAGTTGCTGCTGCTTGTCATATAGTGTCCTGAACAGGCCAGTGCAAAACGATAAACTAGAAAATGCACTCTCATTTCTGCCACTACTATGTAAAACTGATAGCAACATTTACAGAGGACAGCTAATCTATGTAACTATTTTTGCCTACTAGTGTTACTCTAATCCAGACCTTTATCAAATGTTATTAAATCTGTGGAGGAAGGTTGTATGGACCACATAGGTTTTGATTTTTAATTTATCAGCGTGAAAAAGCTATTCCCATCCAGTGAAGATGATGCTCATTTTGACTCATTTTGCTTCATGCCTGTAACCTTAGCCATTTGAAAGACAGAGATCAGGGAGAATCATAGTTCAAAGCTAATCCTGGGAGGAAAAAACTCACAAGACCCCATCTCAACTAGTAGTTGGATGCAGTGGTACATGCCTGTCTTCCCAGCTACTCAGGAGGCTGAGATCTGATACAGTTCCATGCCAACTGGGGCAAAAAAAAATCTCAAAATCTAGTCTAAAGGAAGAAAGCTTAGGCCTGTCATCCCTGCTACAAGAGGAAGTATAAGCAGGTGGATCTTGCTTCAGGCCCTCTCTCAAACATAACACAGCCAGAGCAAAAGTGCTGAAGATATGCCTCAAGTGGTAGAGCATATGTCTAGCAAGCTCCAAGCTCTTGAGTTCAAACCCCAGTACTGCCAAAAATATTTGGATGTGACCTGTCTGGGTTGATAACAGGACAATTCTCTTGTGATGGGCAGTGGCTGTTAACCTTGGCCCCCAATCAGCCATGTCTGGAGGTGAGTTAAATGGAACACGATTTCAACTGGTGGGCGTATCAGGAGGTAACTTGCAAACTGAGGAGCATTTGACTTCATTTATGAGTACTAGTCAACATGGGAAAGCCTAGGGGTAAATATGCATGATTTTAAATGTGTTCCTTTTCCAGGTTCTCAGAGTTGCAGTCAGCTGTGGGAAGTGTAGGTAGGGACACTGCCTGGCCACTGAGAGTGACCAGCAGGGGGCGCCTTTTGCTCACAGCTAAAGCTTTGAGACTTTTTTGACTGTCGTTTGCTAAGAATAAGGCTACATTGGCCAGATAATTCACATTTTATACTCCCATGAATGCGTTTTCACATTCTGAGTGGGATTCTGACCAGCAGGCTCACCACCGTGACAATTTGGGAGCTTACCTTATCCCTCCATGCACATGGGACTGACAGCCAACCGGGTAAGAAGCCTGGCACATCTTTTATAGTCTACAGTGAAAACAAACCACAGACCCTTGTCAGCTGCTAAGCAACAACATATAGAGTGGCTTTGTTTTTGCAAGTAAATCAACTGCATTAAATAGTGTCCTACACTGACCCAAAAGCAATGCAGAAATCTGTCATCTGCAATCATGGGTCCTGATTTAATCATCTGTGGTCCGTCAGGTATGCTAGCATCACAAGCAAAAAGCCAGTAATGCACCTGAGGCTTACTCACAGCTACCCTTAGTCACATGGCTGCCAGGCTCATGGAGATGATTACAGTAGAGTTCTTTCCAGGGAACGATGACATCTTTAAGTTTTAGTTCACCTACAGACTGAGTCCACATCTGAGCTACCTATGACACAAAGACTTCTGCATTAGTCTTCAAAGTACAGTGAGTCAAAAATAAGAGCTGGGTAAAAGTAAAAGCTGGGTGCACTGACAAACCTGGAGTCTTAGTCTTCAGGAGGCCAACAAAGCAGGGGTACTGCACATTTGAGGCTAGCCTAGCCTACATGGCAAGATCTTGTCTCAAAAAACCACCCCAAAATGCCAGGCGCTGGTGGCTCATGCCTGTAATCCTAGCAACTCAGGTGGCTGAGATCTGAGGATCTCGGTTCAAAGCCAGCCCGGGCAGAAGAGACCATGAGACTCCTATCTCCAATAAACCACCAGAAAACCGGAAGTGGCACTGTGGCTCAAGTGGTAGAGCACTCGCCTTGAGCTGAAGAGCTGCGGGACAGCGCCCAGGCCCAGAGTTCAAGCCCCACGACTGACAAAAACAAAAAAACAAAAACAAAAAAACACCCCAAACTACAGAGCTAGTCTTGTGGGAAAAAAGCAAAAAACAAAAACAGAAGGTTAGGGTAAGTGTCTAGGCCCTGAGTTCAAGCCCTAAGTCCAACATGGAAGGAAGGAAGGGAGGGAGGGAGGGCGAGAGGAGGAGGGGGAGGAAGGCTGGCCCCAAACTAAAAAAAAAAGAGAATAACATTGCAGACATTTGGACTAGGCTTGGAAAAGAAGCAGCAAGCTGACTTCTGAGCACACACTGATGTTCTTGATGCCTTGTATAATTTCCCATTCTGCTCTTTTGCCAGGTGCCACCTCAGAAAACATTTTGAAATCTAGTGGCTATATCTGGAAATTTCCTCTAAATGAAGTTCGGTGGAAAGCTATAGTTGATTATAAATTACTAAAGTTTTATTTCTCAGGAGTAGAAAGGGAAAAGTTTGTACTCAGACCTGAATAAAAATGAGTAAACTGACAATAATAAGTCTGTACAATACGTTAGATAAAAAGCTTATGAGTTCCTCAAGAACATGCCTTCCAAATATTAATAATATATACCCTTTGGCTAGAGAACTGGTCATATAGACCACTTCTTCATTGTTCTTGTTCCACACTCTCAGGAAGGTAGCTTCTTCACTCTGGAATGTACTGAAGGTGAGTGGGTGTTAAGTTAAAGGACTAGTCTCATCAACAGATCTGCTTCCATGTGTAACAGTGCTAAAGATCACAGCTGGTCCCCATCTCACTGGACACACAGGTCTCAAATGTATGTACATTGAGTCACCTGGGGATCTTAAATGCAGATTTTGTTCCTTGGAATAGGAAGAAACCTAGTTATACATTCTACAAAGCTCTCCTGGCCCACTCTGCCTAAGAAAGCTCCAAGGTCCCTTTCAGTTCCCCCTTTCCAGGATCTCAGGGATTTCCCTTTGTATAGCCTACAGTGGCCCAGAAGTGGTCAGTGCCAGATCCTGAGCTTTTTATGTTCTCAGCAGATGTAGAAGTAGCCACAAGTCGCTACTACAGCTGTCCCTCTAGTCTACAGAAAAGGAGGTGCTGCCTTGCAAAGACTTGGCAGAGAGGGGGCAAGAGCCCAAGTCTGACTCCCAAGTGGCAGCACTCTGGCGTTTAAACTGTCCTTCATTCACAAGTTAAAGAATTACACCAAGTGACCCAAACTTCACTTTCCAATGTAAAAATCTATGTTGTAAGTCAGCAAAATGCATTCACATTTAAACAAGTAGAAGGTTCTGTTTCCTCAGGAAGCTACTTAGTAATTTTCAACAGAGGATGCTTCTTCAGAAGAACACAGGGGAAGGAATTGGGACAGAGGGTTCACACCAAAGCCCAGAGGATGAGACCAACTCGGGGCTCCAAAAGCGGAGAACTGAACTCTGCAGGGAGTGTGTGCCCCTTGCACTGAGGGACTCCTGTGTTTGAAAAGATGTCATAATGCGGTGTATCCTGGCAGAGTCCCCACAAAAAAGCAGCCCTATAATGAAGGTGTTGCCATTCAGAATGGCTCTGCTGCCTGAGCAGAGAAAAAACTTCTATGCCATGTAAAATGCAACGTTCTGGAAGGCAGGATGGGCTGCCTGGGCTGCTCGATGTCTGGGTTATCTGAAAGCAGCCAGCCAGGTTCCTGGTGTGTCGTGGCTTTTCTCCTTGAGCTTTAAATGAAATGAAAGTTGCCATCTGGTTTTATGAGGAAAAGCGATTTTATGAAGAGCATACAGAATTACTGGGCAAAATAAAATACTGTGCTATGGACAAACAGCCAAAGTATGTCAAAGAGAATGAAAAGAAAGCAGAGAAGAGAAAGTTTTGGTTAAGATTTGGATACGAGCAGGAACTTCACGTTTCTGAACCAAAGAGTAGAATTTTAAAATAGCAAAATTCCTGGGTAATGAGGTGTTATTACTGATGGAAAGAAAAAGTCTCCGTTCAGGGCAGTGGAGATGGACTGGAAAGATTAGCACTCATTCCAGGTCAAGTGTGGTGTCCACTGCTGCCGAATTTAGCTGTTTGCTCAGGTACTTGAGCATCCTGGCTCATAGCTCAGTCAGACAGGGTTGGACAGGGCCCTTACGCATTTCAGATGTCAGAGTCTGCTGCGTGGAAGGGTGTGGGAGGCTGCTGGTCAGTTAGGTATTGACTTACATGCAGGGATGGTGCAGTCTCGAGTGTTGTGGTAAAGTCTGTGGAAGTGTTTGCTGCACTTCGGACTGAAATAAAGAGGCCCTGGAACACAGAAGAAGATGGCCATGAAGGCTCTGGGAGCAAAGGAGCAGATTGGGATCGGGAGTGAGAGAATACGCACCTGTGAGGTGTTTCAGAAACTTGTCCTTCATCCTCAGATCTCTAGGAACAATCTCTGCGGGGAGAGAGATCATTACACTTTACCAAGTAATTATCAAATGTGATTTTGTGTGAATACTGAAGAAAATTTTGGGAATTACATTGCCAATTACAAAATTACACATTAGATAAAAACCTTGACTCACATAAAATACAATGTAAAGCCAGACTAGGGAATATCTCTTCCAATAGTATCAACTTGTAACATATCAATAGCTATTTTCTATGACTATGATAGAGTCAAGATTTATTCTTTGCATAGCTTCCAATGAATCACCTTAAGACTTCATTTTGAGGAGCTTGGGAACCAAATTCCATGGTATTTCAATGTTCTGGAAAGAAACTCAAAGGAAGTGCTACAAAAGTTCTATCTTAAAGGTAAATATGTTGCAAAAAGGGCAAAATGCCTTTCAAACCACTTGCTATAAAGCCTGGTAAGCATGATTGGGAATAGACCACTGGCCTGGTTTACAACCCAAGTGGCGTTTTCTTACTTCTGCTGTTCTTCTTTAGAAACTGTCCCCAGCAAAGGTTTCCTGGTTTGCTTTCTGGTGTAGGCCTTTCTTTTTTGGGGGGTGGGGGTGCGGTCATGGGGCCTGAACTCTGGGTCTGGGTGCTGTCCCTCAGCTCTTTAGCTCAAGGCTAGCGCGCTACCACTTGAGCCATACCACCACTTCCAGCTTTTTTTTTCTGCTTATGTGGTGCTGAGGAATCGAACCCAGGGCCTCATACATGCAAGGCAAGTGTTCTACCACTGAGCCACCTTCCCAGCTCCTGATGTAGGCCTTTCTTTTTGCTTTTATTACAGTTTCTGTGGTCAGTTCCCATTCCCCAGACGAGGCCAGTAACTTTTCTATGATTATATGCAAGATGTCACACTTTATTTTACCAGAAATAATTCTTCCCTTCCCACATCTCAAGAGGACACTGGTGTTTGGGTCTTCCACACGCAGGGTGGAGACCTCGCCCCAATGTCAGTCTTCATTTACTTTTCACTTGAATCAGTCCGCACAGAATTGACCTTATCATATTTGACCTAATTGTGTCATGAAAGCATTAAAAGCTTGCATGCTTCTCTGGGAAATTCCCCATAGGCAGCTGCTCTGGGAAGGGCTCCACCAAGGGGAGAGCTCGGACCATTTCCTTCCCAACCAAACGCTGTACTGAGAACACTTCCATCTCCAAAATAACAGATGTCGGTTTTGTGTAGAAATTCCTAACCTAGGCAACAGCTCCAAGTCTTAGGTGTAAACTAGGAATGGTTATTTAAGGGGCTCAAAAGCCTCCTGTTACTACCAGGTCCTTTTTCAGAAAGAAGTAAAGAAGGGAGCGAGGAAGAGAGGAAGGAGACAGGGCGGGAAAGGGGAGGGGAGAGCCAGTCAAATTATTTTTCTTCAAACAATCAAAATTGATTTTTTAAATGTGTTTCTCAAAGGCAATTTTATTTGCAAGAAAATATGAATCTTCTTGTAAGGCATCTGGAGGGTTCTACTGCCAGGATCCTGGGCAAGGGCAGCCGCAGCCTCTTGGCCTACAGTGTGGGGCATTCTACTCCCTTCAGGTCTGCACTTCAGCCCTCACCTGCTGTCCCCGGACCCTGACCTCTGTCCCCGGACCCTGACCTCTGTCCCCAGACCCTAACCTCTGTCCCCGGACCCTGACCACTGTCCCTGGACTCTCACCTGCTGTCCCGGACCCTGACCTCTGTCCCCAGATCCTAATCTCTGTCCCCAGACCCTGACCTCTGTCCCCAGACCCTAACCTCTGTCCCCGGACCCTAACCGCTGTCCCAGACCCTAACCTCTGTCCCCGGACCCTAACCTCTGTCCCCAGACCCTGACCGCTGTCCCCAGACCCTGACCACTGTCCCCAGACCCTAACCGCTGTCCCCAGACCCTGACCGCTGTCCCCAGACCCTGACCACTGTCCCCAGACCCTAACCTCTATCCCCAGACTCTGACCGCTGTCCCCAGACCCTGACCACTGTCCCCAGACCCTAACCTCTGTCCCCAGACCCTGACCGCTGTCCCCAGACCCTGACCACTATCCCCAGACCCTGACCGCTGTTCCCGGACCCTGACCACTGTCCCTGGACTCTCACCTGCTGTCCCCGGGCCCTGGCCGCTGTCCCCGCGCCCTGACCTCTGTCCCCGGACCCTGATCTATGTCCCCGGACCCTGACCTGCTGTCCCCGGACCCTGACCTCTGTCCCCGGGCCCTGACCTGCTGTCCCCGGACCCTGGCCGCTGTCCCCGGGCCCTGACCTGCTGTCCCCGGACCCTGACCTGCTGTCCCCGGACCCTGACCTCTGTCCCCGGACCCTGGCCGCTGTCCCCGGACCCTGACCGCTGTCCCCAGGCCCTGGCCGCTGTCCCCGGACCCTGACCTCTGTCCCCGGACCCTGACCACTGTCCCCGGACCCTGACCACTGTCCCCGGACCCTGACCACTGTCCCCGAGCCCTGGCCGCTGTCCCCGGGCCCTGGCCGCTGTCCCCTGACCCTGACCACTGTTCCCGGACCCTGACCACTGTCCCTGGACTCTAACCTGCTGTCCCCGGGCCCTGGCCGCTGTCCCCGGACCCTGACCTGCTGTCCCCGGAACCTGACCTGCTGTCCCCGGACCCTGACCTGCTGTCCCCGGACCCTGACCTCTGTCCCCGGACCCTGACCTGCTGTCCCCGGGCCCTGACCTGCTGTCCCCAGACCCTGACATCTGTCCCCGGACCCTGACCTGCTGTCCCCGGACCCTGGCCGCTGTCCCCGGACCCTGATCTGCTGTCCCCGCGCCCTGGCCGCTGTCCCCGCGCCCTGGCCGCTGTCCCGGCGCTCCCCCGCGGTGGACCCTCCCCCGTCGGCCGCTGGGGCGCACCACGCCCGGACTCACCCACTCTCTGCTCCTCAGGGTCTGGCCCGTAGTCCGCTGCCTCCCTGCGGCCCAAGGCGAAGCCCGGCTGCCCGAGCCCTGGCAGCTGCTTGGCCTCGCCCAGGTGGAGCGTCTGCAGCTCCCGGACCAGCTCCGCCAGCAGCCGCAGCAGGGAGCGTCGGTCGGCCGGGCCCCGGGGCTGCGCGCGCGCCCCGCGCGGGCCGGCCGCGCTCAGCACCAGCAGCAGCCCCAGGAGCAGCGGGCGCCCGGGCGCGCGCATGGTCCGGCGGGCGGGCGGCGGGCCGTCGGGGCCGGCGGGGCCGGCGGCGGCGCGGCCCGCGGGGAAGCGCGCCCACCCGGCTCCGCGCTCCGCGCCGCACCCGCCCCGCGTCCCGCACGGGGCCCCGAGCGGACCGGCGCCCGCACAACTTTCCGTCCCCTCGCGGGGAGCCCGGCCGCACCTGCCGCGCGGCGCCCGCCGGCCACCTGCGCCCGCGCCGCCCCGCGCCGCCGTCCGGGGCTCGGCGCCGGGTCCGCCGCCGGGCAGCGCGCTCCTCCGCCTCCGGCCGCGCGGGCTGGCGGGCGCTCCGGGCGGATCGCACGAGTCCGCCGGCCGCGGGCGCCTCTTATCCCCGAGGCCGCCGACGTCAGGCGGGTCCCCGGGCGCCGCGCGCTTTAATTAGAACCGCGGGCGCGGATCTCCGCCAGCCCCCGCCCGCCCCCGTTCCCCCGCCCCGCGGCCCGCCGCCCCCCACGGTCCCGCCCCCCACGGTCCCGCCCCCCGCCGCCCCACGGCCCCACCCCCTCCACGATCCCATCCACCCACGGCCCCGACCCCCACGGCCCCACCCCCTCCACGATCCCATCCACCCACGGCCCCGACCCCCACGGCCCCCACGGCCCCACCCCCTCCACGATCCCATCCACCCACGGCCCCGACCCCCACGGCCCCCACGGCCCCACCCCCTCCACGATCCCATCCCCCCACCGTCCCGACCCCCACGGCCCCACCCCCTCCACGATCCCATCCACCCACCCACGGCCCCGACCCCCACGGCCCCACGGCCCCACCCCCTCCACGATCCCATCCACCCACCGTCCCGACCCCCACGGCCCCATCCCCTCCACGATCCCATCCACCCACCCACGGCCCCGACCCCCACGGCCCCACCCCCTCCACGATCCCATCCACCCACCGTCCCGACCCCCACGGCCCCACCCCCTCCACGGTCCCACCCACCCACCGTCCCGACCCCCACGGCCCCACCCCCTCCACGGTCCCACCCACCCACCGTCCTGACCCCCACGGCCCCACCCCCTCCACGGTCCCATCCACCCACCGTCCCGACCCCCACGGCCCCACCCCCTCCACGATCCCATCCACCCACCGTCCCGACCCCCACGGCCCCACCCCTCCACGGTCCCATCCACCCACCGTCCCGACCCCCACGGTCCCACCCCTCCACGGTCCCATCCACCCACCGTCCTGACCCCCACGGCCCCACCCCTCCACGGTCCCATCCACCCACCGTCCCGACCCCCACGGTCCCGCCCCCCACGGTCCCACCCATCCACCGTCCTGACCCCCACGGCCCCACCCCCTCCACGGTCCCATCCACCCACCGTCCTGACCCCCACGGTCCCGCCCCCTCCACGATCCCATCCACCCACCGTCCTGACCCCCACGGCCCCACCCCTCCACGGTCCCATCCACCCACCGTCCCGACCCCCACGGTCCCACCCCTCCACGGTCCCATCCACCCACCGTCCCGACCCCCACGGCCCCACCCCCTCCACGATCCCATCCACCCACGGCTCCGACCCCCACGGCCCCACCCCCTCCACGATCCCATCCACCCACGGCTCCGACCCCCACGGTCCCGCCCCCCACGGTCCCGCTGCGCGCCCTCCCCGCCGCCCGGCCCTCTCCCGCAGCCGTCCGGCTCCTGCCGCCGGTGACAGCGCCTCCACCAGGAAGGAGAGCCTGTTTTGTCTAAACGCAGATCGCGGCCGCTGAAGACGGAGCTGCGGATCCGCTCGGGCCCCGAAGTCAGCGCCGCCGTCTGCGGGGCGCGGGCAGCGGGGCCCGGCCGACCCCGCCGACCCCGCCGACCCCGCCGACCCCGCCGACCCCGGCCGACCCCGGCCCGACTCCAGCCCTACCCGGCCCCGACGGTCGCGAGGCGCGCTCCGGGGCGCGGCGCGGGGCTCCGGGGCTCCGTCTCCGGGGTCTCCGGTCCTCTGGACGCGGCCCGGCGTGTTGGGAGGGCTCCGCGTCTCGCTCCCGTGGAAGGGATCGCCAGCCCGGGCGCGCCTCCCCCGGTGTGGTGCCTTCTGGGCAGGAGCTGGACCCCTTCCCAGGCGGCCATTCGACCGGACGCTGTTCCCAGCACAGCGCCGGCTCCGCCGCGGCCCGGCGCCCTGCGCCCGCCTTTAACCGGCAGCGGCCCGGCGAGGCCCCCAGGACCAGTCCCATTCCCGCCGCGCTTCGCGCTTCCCCGCCGGGAGCCAGGGCCCTGGGCCCCTGACAGCTCTCCTGGCCTGTCCCCTCCCCAGCTCTCCTGGCCTGTCCCCACCCCCCCAGCTCTCCTGGCCTGTCCCCTCCCCCCCAGCTCTCCTGGCCTGTCCCCTCCCCCCCAGCTCTCCTGGCCTGTCCCCCCCAGCTCTCCTGGCCTGTCCCCCCCAGCTCTCCTGGCCTGTCCCCTCCCCAGCTCTCCTGGCCTGTCCCCCCCCCAGCTCTCTTGGCCTGTCCCCTCCCACCTCTCCTGGCCTGCCCCCCCCAGCTCTCCTGGCCTGTCCCAACCCCCCCCCAGCTCTCCTGGCCTGTCCCCCCCAGCTCTCCTTGCCTGTCCCAACCCCTCCCAGCTCTCCTGGCCTGTCCCCCCCCAGCTCTCCTGGCCTGTCCCCCCCAGCTCTCCTGGCCTGCCCCCCCAGCTCTCCTGGCCTGTCCCCCCCAGCTCTCCTGGCCTGCCCCCCCCACAGCTCTCCTGGCCTGCGCCCCCCAGCTCTCCTTGCCTGTCCCAACCCCCCCCCCCAGCTCTCCCGGTGTGTCCCCAACCCACCCCTGCTTTCTCTCCCATTTCTTCCCTCCTCCTTCCCTCCCTCTCCACTACCCTGTCTCTCCTTCCTCACCATCTCCCTACCTTCACTAGGTATGGCCTAAACAGAGAAGTGTCTAGCAGAGTGGAGGCAGGGTAGAAATGAGAAGTACTAAGATGGGAGACGTATTTGTGTATCTTTGCTCTCTTTAAAATCAAATTATTTGAGTCCCAATGAGGGTTTGGGACGTTTTATTTTGTTTGCTTTCAGTGTGACTGAAATTAAGTTTCTGTTGAAATACACCCAGATAAAAGTAAAAATTCCTGTCAAACAGAGCTTAGGCAAATACAGTGAAGCATTTTTACTCTCTTCCTTTTCCTCCTTCCACGTGTGTGAGAACTTTTAAGTTCCTCTAGCAAGGGCAGCAGCCCCTGCCCACTGCCCCCAGTTTCCTCAGCCGCAGGTCAGAGTCCACAGAGCAGCTCTAGTCTCCGGCTGTGCAGCTAGTTTACACAGCAAGGGAAGCCTGAGAAACTACAAGTTGGGTTTTTTTTCCTTCCGTAGCGTAATCACATATTAACTTACCTGGACACTTTAAAAATAGTGCTTCACAGAATAAAAGCCATACTTCTAAAAAATGTGCAGAGGCTCTATCGCCACCCATTCTACCAGTGGAGGAAGCCTGCAGTGGTGAATGTGGCCCTTTTGTCTTTGGCAGTTTGTAATGGGAGAACCAGATTCCTTGAAAGACTCCTCTCACCCTCACAGCCACAGCCCACCCCGGGAGACACACGCACACTGATAACACTAGTGCTTGTGTGGTGTGGATTCTTGAGTCTGGCAATCAAGCACCAGACAATTAGTGTGTTTGTCCATTTATTTTGTGAAGTTCCTTACTAAAGTGACTCCAGACAACCCTTACTGTATATAAACAACTTTACAGACTTAAAAAAGCATAATTAAACTGATTTATTAAACTTTACTAACTTTTCATTTTCCATTTTCATTTTCATTGAACTGGAGTTCTCCAGTTTTCAGATGTGTGTGTTGTGATCATCAGATCACAATCTGACCTGCTGAACTCATTGTTTGTGGGGTTGATCAGAGGAGAGTGTGCACGAGTCCACACAAACATATTTATAGTGACACAGTACTTTCTTTTTGTTAAAATGAGGCAGTGAGACATTGTCCCTATCTAAAACTGTATCATGCGGTTACAAAAAAGAAGAAGAAGAAGCCTGAAAATAACAGAAGAATAAAAAGATAAAAATAGTCCACTTGAACTCATCACAGTTAGCCTCCCCATCTATTTTCAGGCAAGAAGAGGTAAACCATTCATAGTTGTTAGTAATGTAATTCCTTCCTCCAGTAAGGGGACAACCATCTCTAGTCAAGAATCCAAAAATCCAAACAGATAAGAGAGAAAATTAGCATCAAACTATACACTAGGATTACTGGCAAAAAAATGAACTACTAGACTTGAGGTCATTTGGTTTTGTTTTGGATAAAATTATAGTGTATCACTGGAAGAAAACAAGATTAGAAAAGTTGTATTTACTTTACTTCTACTATACATCTGTGACGTGAGATGGGAAAGTTAGATTTTACTTTAGAATCAGTAAAAGTACTGCTCCAACATTTTTTGTCCCTAGAAGGTATCATCTAATTTTAGATTAGCATTATCTGCCTTCTGAGACTAATATATATATATATATATATATATAATGTAAATATAATGTATAACATATGAACATGTCTTAAATGCATGTTATATTTATTCAACCATTGTGTTATTACCTAACAATCTGACAGTTATTAGAAAAAGTAATCACCACCTTTCATAAAAGATCACTATGTTTAATCAGGAAATATTCTTTAATATTAAACTTTTAGCAATTCTTTTGTTTTTACTATTAAAAAACTAGCAATATCTTACTAATGTATTAGAAACTGTATAAATCTTTTAAGAAGACATATTCCTAATATAAATTTTAAAATGGAATCTCTTACAAGTAAGAATACATGTGTAATAGATACCAGATATAGAGTTTGACTTGATTCTTTCTGTTCTGTCCCCAAGGATATACAGGCTCCTCACCTGCTTCTCATTCTTTGGCACCATTTTTGCGTTTCTAAAACTGCAGTGCAGCATGTGTTCAGAAAAGCCACGAGCCAAAGTTTTGTTCAAAGGCTTGGAATACTTAATAGTATGACTGATTTACTTTTGCTCAATTTATTTCA